CCATGGCACTCTAGCCCGGGCAAAAGAGTGAGACTCTGTCTCAAAAAAATAAAAAAAATAAAAAAATAAAGCAAATAAAATTATCATAAGTTTACAGCAGATATATCTACAGCATAAAATAGGGATTGTCTTAATATTAGAAGGAAATTCATTCCTCATACCTCCTTCCCAGTATGCATAGTACACACCAGATTAATTTCTTAATTATTTACTGTGCTAATGGAAATACTTCTGTACTAAGTGAAAAATACACTTAAATTAATGAAATAGTCACTTAAAATTCAACCATTAAGTCAGCCAAGGCAATGCTTGATAATGCAGCCTCCTAGTGGTGGAGCATGGCAGTACCAAACAGCAAACAGGAGTTTTTGGTAATGTGGTTACAGGAATTCAAATAATTAGATTTTGCTGCTTAATTGTATCATTTTTTCCTGCCATATTCTACTGCATGAACTGTATTTGACTTGGATAAAATACATGCTATGCCACCTTGTGCAGAAAAGAGTGCACAGCATGCCTGACTGCTTATACTTAGAAAAGCCTGCTCATAAATTTGGCCCTTGGCTGGAGCACAGGAACTTAGAGTCTGGAAGGTTCCCTCTCTGCGCCCCCTTAATTAATAATATGTGGCTCATTGTGCCCAAACTGTTTATTCTGAACACCTGTTTTCCTACTGGGAGTCTGGAATGGGGATATGTTTCAGAAAGGGGGATGCTATAGGATCAGGCACTGAGTCTCTAATAAGGTTCTCTGGTTGGCAATATTTCACATGTGTTATCACAATTCATGCTGGGGGAATTAAGTGTGTCCTGTGTTACTCCATGGCAAGAAGACGCAGGAAGCTTGCCCCTGGTTTCCCCAGACTTCGCCCAATGCACATTTCCCTTTGCTGATTTTGCTCTCTATCCTTTCACTGTAATAAATCATAGCCATGAGTAAGACTATGTGCTGAGTTCTCTGAGATTTCCTAGTGAATCATCAAATCCGAAGGTGTTCTTGGGGATACCCCAACATAGGCTTTTTTGTTTCTGAGACAGGGTCTTGCTCTGTTGCCCAGGCTGGAGTGTAGTGGCATGATCATAGCTCACTGCAGCCTCAGACTCCTGGGCTCAAATGATCCTTCTGCCTCAGCCTCCCAATTAGCTGGGACTACAGGCACGTGCCACAATGCCCAGCTAAATTTTTCTCATTTTTTGTAGAGACAGGGTCTCGGTATGTTGCCCAGGCTGGTCTTGAACTCCTGGCCTCAAGCGATCCTTCCACCTCGGCCTCCCAAAGTGCTAAGATTATAAGCCTGAGCCACCTTGCCCAGCCTTACAAGCTTTTTGGATACCAGTATTTACTGGTGTTGCTTTCATGTACTGAATGAGGGTTTATTTACCAGTAATTGTGTTCTATTTCTTGCCTACATGTACCACTACTCATTGTTAGCAGTATATTTCTTTTTAGCTGTTTGATTTTATATTTTTTAAAGGGTTATTAGATTTCCATATACCTAGAATTTATTATTTCCAACTGTGTTCTTATATACTGTGTTTATATAAAATATTTTTCCTACAAAACCACTTTAAAATCTCATAATACGGCCGGGCACGGTGGCTCACGCCTGTAATCCTAGCACTCTGGGAGGCCGAGGCGGGTGGGTTGTTTGAG